GCCACGAAACTTCTCAATAATTACAAAATTGTCACCGTACAACTTTAGGTCATTAGATCATTAACTTATAAAGTTGATCAATGAACATAAATTGGTCTTACGGGTCTCACGAAAAATCATTGGTCTCACATAAACCCAACTATATATATATATATATATATGATTTATTTTTTCAATGTCATGTAATTAAAAATATGATGTATTGATGTAAATATATATATATATATATTATATTTGTGGATTCAATTTTACTTTATAAAATAATGAAAATGGAGTTAAAAAAGTAGGAAAATGAAAGGGTTAACAATGAATGTGTAGATTATATATTAAAAATAAATCAAAATAATGAGAAAAAAGATAAATAAGATAGAAGTGTTCTCATTGAACAACATTTTGGTTCTTCCTTTAATATATATATAGATTTTGAATTTCAAATCGAATAATCTTTCCAACGAAAGATTGTTCTATGTTGGTATTTAACATAAAATAATTCATACTTAATATGTTTGATAATTCATGGTTTGTTTCAACCCAACGGAGGAGCAAACTGTGAATTATTAGATAGAATTTCTTTTGCATTATCGACTTTTCTGACATTTTTTTTGCCCAAAGGTAATACATTTTAGATAAGTCGGCATAATTTGCTTAGAATATCAATGATTTAATTGTTGATTGGACCAACAAAAGGTTAACGATTGAATCTTAGGTTTAATAATGATATATTATATGTGTTTGTAATAGATTAAACTGAATTTATGTTTTATGAATGAATATGTGTATGCCCCATAATTTATTATCATTTTTTTTAGTTTCGTTATGAGCCTAATTTTTCTTACTTTAACATGCTAGCCTCAATAATGACGGGAATCTCCGGATATATATATCCGGAGTTGAACCGCTGAATGGGACTAATTTTTCTTCCTGGAATGAGCAAATTAAAATTGCTCTTGGAGTGATGGACTTGGATTATGCTTTAAGGATTGGACGCCCAACTCTTTTAACTGACAAGAGCACACCTGAAGAAAAGCGTCTCTTTGAACAGTGGGAGCGTTCAAACCGCATGTCCCTTATGATAATCAAAAACTCCATATCCTTAGCCATCAAGGGAGCAATCTCGAACTCTGAAACAGCTACGGGATACTTAACTTCCGTGGAGGAGCAATTTAAGGGTACATCTAAAGCACATGCAAGTACCCTTATACTTAAAATGCTCACCACAAAGTATGATGGTGTTAGTGGTGTGCGTGAGCACATTATGATCATGAACGACATGGCAAACAAACTCAAAAGTATGGATATGGAAATATCTGAAGGTTTCCTTATCCATTTCATAATGACTTCATTACCCTCTCAATTTGGACCATTCAAAATTAATTACAATACCCAAAAAGAGAAGTGGAAGATGAGTGAACTTATTGCCATGTATGTTCAAGAAGAGGAACGTCTAAAAATAGAAAAACCGGACGTTGTTCATCTTACTACTACTAACGCCTATAAGAGGAAGTTCTCGAACAGCGGAAAGGGTCCATATAAGTGAAGTAAGTTTACTCCCAATAAGGCTCAAAAGAACGGTTCGGGTACAAGTGGAACGAAGGGCAAAGTTAGGTATCGGTTTTGCAAACAATTCGATCATACTCAACATGATTGCCCTAAATTCAAAGAGTGGCTAACTAAGAAAGGTAAACTCCTTAACTATATGATTTGT